TATTATTTATATTATAATATTATTATTAATATTATTATTATTATTATTATTATTATTATTATTAATATTATTAATATTATTATTATTATTATTATTATTATTAATATTATTATTATTATTATTATTATTATTATTAATATTATTAATACTATTATTATTATTATTAATATTATTATATTAATATTATTATTAATATTATTATTATTAATATAATTATTATTAACATTATTATTAATATTATTATTATTAATATTATTATTATTATTATATTATTATTATTATTATTATTAATATTATTATTATTATTATTATTATTATTATTATTATTATTATTATTTATATTATTAATATTATTATTATTATTATTATTATTATTATTATTATTAATATTAATATTATTATTATTATTATTATTATTATTATTATTATTATTATTATTATTATTATTATTATTATTATTATTATTATTATTATTATTATTATTATTATTATTATAATATAGCATTAAATGAGATAAATTAGTGCTAAATTATATTCGTAACAAATCTAAACAACCAATATTATTATTATTAATATTATTATTATTAATATTATTATCTATTATTATTATTATTATTATTATTATTATTATTTATTAATATTATTATTATTATTATTATTATTATTATTATTATTATTAATATTATTATTATTATTATTAATTTTATTATTATATTATTATTATTATTATTATTATTATTAGTATTATTATTATTAATTTTATATTATTATTATTATTATTATTATTATTATTATTATTAGTATTATTATTATTATTAATATTATTATTATTATTATTATTATTATTAAATTATTATTATTATTAATATTATTATTATTATTATTATTATTATTATTATTATTAATACTATTATTATTATTATTATTATTATTATTATTATTATTAATATTATTAATATTATTATTATTATTATTATTATTATTATTATTATTATTATTATTAATATTATTAATATTATTATTATTAATATTATTAGTATTATTATTATTATTAGTTATATTAATATTATTATTATTATTAATATATTAATATTATTATTATTATTAATATTATTAATATTATTATTAATATTATTATTATTATTATTAATATTATTATTAATATTATTATTAATATTATTAATATTATTATTAATATTATTTTTATTAATATTATTATTAATATTATTATTATTATTATTATTATTATTTTTATTATTATTATTATTATTATTATTATTATTATTATTATTATTATTATTATTATTATTATTATTATTATTATTATTATTATTATTATTATTATAATAATATAGCATTAAATGAGATAAATTAGTGCTAAATTATATTCGTAACCAATCTAAACAACTAATAACAAGTACTTATTTATTATAAGATAATAAATACTCCATTAACAATCATACTAATTTTCATAAATATATATTTTTTATAATACAAGAAATTCATATATTTATAATTTGGAAGGTGCTGCTCGTGTTCGGACTAGTTGTAGAATCAAAAGTACCTATTGAAAATAAAGTAAAACACATTTTCACTTGAAGCTATAACGGAATAAGAAAGAAGAAAAAAAAGAAGAAGAAGAATTAGTTACCTGGAGGTGGAGGTGGGAGAGAAGCGAGAGCTACCGAAACAACCAAAAGCATGGCGACTATTGTGGAAAAACGATTTGCTGCCATGGCTGGAAACCGAGAGTATTGAAAAGATTTCATTAACAGACGGCTAAACTGTAAATATAAAAACGACAAGTTGATGATGATTTTTGGATGTCATGCCGTTGATGGATTTAATGCAAAAAACTTTGAATTTTAGCGACAGATACACAAGATTGTAAACTACAATCTAAACAAGAAAAATATTCTTCAATTTTGCAAGTCACTTACCAGACAACAAATTCTTAAAACTTTCTGATGAAGCGGTTTATAAGCTTTAGGGAAGAAAGGAGAAAGAGTGCCTCGAAATCTACTTGTAGTGTATTGATATGGAGATGATTGAGTTGTGTCATCTCATTTATATATTTGCAACCAATCTGAACAACTTATAAAATCCAAATGTGAGAATAGCTTAAAAGACAGAAATTATGGCTTAAAAGAGAAAGAGAAAGAGTAATGCGTGTGAACATATCTAGTTAAATAATATATAGAAGAAATTATATCATGTCGGGACTAGATGTTATAAATAATGGTACAATTTTGTGAGAGGACAAACAAAGAAGCGTAGTACGTAAAGTTATTAGCAACGTACATTGATGTTATGACTTTCTATTCATAGTGTGCCATGGAATAAGATTTTACATACTCATATTCTATAATACTTGAAGTTATATTAAATACAAAATATTTTGCTTGAATATTAAACCCTTTTCCATCTTAGTATTAATATACAAAACTTTTTTATTTTTTATTTTCATTCTCAAAACTCAAATTTTAAAAAGGATTTTATCTTTCCCATATTTTCTTATTACTTTTTAATCATTCTTTGTTTTGGTAATTAATAGTAATTACAGTTTAAATATATAAAGGATTTCATATCAATTAAACACGAAATATCACATCGTTCATGTTAGATGTATAATTCTTATTCTGTCGAAATGTTTGTGTGGTGTATGTCGAATAACTTTTGTATAGGTTGTAAGTTGTATTCGACAGAGTCTAATACATCAGATATTGCAGTCTGTCGAAATCATGTTTTGTGCTTTACCATTTTGTCTAATTGGGCCTGAACATTGTTTGCCTATATAAAATGCTGTTGAGTTTGTAAATATACATAGTGAGAAGTATATCATATAACAAACTCTCAATTTCTTCTCTTCCATAAATCATCTTTCTTGAAACTCTTTGTTCCAAAAAATTGGTATCAGAGTCTGGTTGCGATTTAGAGAGAATCTAATGACAAACAAAACAACAACATCAACACAGTTTCCAGCGAATCTACGGGTTTTCAAATGTGAAAACTATCAACGGTGGGTTGCTCAGATGAAGGTTATTTTCAGATTTCAAGTTATTGTTGAAATCTCGAATGATGGAGTATCAGAACTAGAAGCAGATGTGACAGATGCCCAGAAAACTGCACACAAAGATCAGAAGAAGAAAGATGGTAAAACACTTTTCTTGATTCACCAGTGTGTGGATTTTGATATATTCGAGAAAATTACTGAAGTAGAAATAACAAAAGGAGCTTGGGAAAAGCTAAAAACCTTGTATGGTAGAGATGAGAAATTGAAGAAGGTGAAGTTGCAGACACTAAGGAAGCAATAAAAGATGCTTTAGATGAAAGAAAATGAATCAATCTCTGCATATTTCTCAAGAGTTGTGACGCTAACAAACCAGATGAAGGCATGTGGTGAATCTTTTACGAATCTGTAGAAGATAGAAAAGGTGTTGAGATCTTTAATTGCAGATTTCGATTACATTGTTGTGACAATTGAAGAGACCAGGAATCTATCTGAGATGAAGTTGGAAGAACATCAAGCTTCATTGGAGGCTCATTAAATGAGGTTGAAGCAGAGAAACTTAGAAAGAGAGAAGGTGACTGAACAGGCATTGCAATCAAGATTCAGCAATAAAGATGGAAAGGAGAAGTCTAAGCAGCGAAAGAATCTTGCTAGTGATGGTAAGTCAACCAAGAATACTGATTCGATCAAGAATGGTGTGGGCAACAAGTATTCTGGGAAGAAAGTTGAGATGAAAGAGGTGCAATGTTACAATTGTTACGGTATTGGTCACTACGCGAGGGCGAAAGATAGTGATGAAGCTCAATATGCATGAGCTGGAGATAATAATTCAGATGATGTGTTGTTGATGGTGAACACTAAGTCGAACACTGAGAAAAACAACATATGGTATCTGGATTCAAGATGCAGCAACCACGTAACTTGTAATAAAAAATGGTTTACCAAGTTAGATGAGTAAGTCGAAAAGGTTATAAAGTTTGCAGATGGAAGGAACATCAAAAGAGGTGGTAAAGGAGATATTTCAATTGTCAGGAAGGATGGTCGAAAAGCTTCTATCACTGAAGTACTATATATACCTTCTATGACAAGTAACTTGATTAGTGTAGGTCAATTACTTGTAAAAGGCTTCAATATGAAGCTGGAGAAAAATCAGATGAAGGTATACAGGGCTGATGCGAGGCTAATAATGAAATCACCATTGGCATAGAACAAAATGTTCAAAGTTGATCTCAACGCATCAGATCACAAATGTCTTGCTTCAACTACAGAAGAAGACAAGAACTGGCTATGGCATCGCAGGTCTGGACATCTAAACTTCAAAAGTTTATGCACGCTCAATCAGAAAAGGATGGTATTTGGGTTGCCGTATGTAAAGTAACCAAAACAGATATGCGAGGAATGCTGCAAAGAAAAATAGGCAAGGAAGGCGTTCAAACATGACATGCCCGTAAAATCAAAGCAAAAACTGGAGCTGGTTCATTCTGATGTGTATGGACCCTTTGAAGTGAAGTCAAATGGAGGTAACATGTATTTCCTTACTTTCATTAATGAATTCACCAAACATATGTGGATTTACCTTATTTAAAGGAAGAGTGAGGTATTTACACAGTCAAGAAGTTCAAGTTGTATTTTTTGTGTTTGTGTGTGAGACTATTATTGAAAAATCATCATGCAACCTAAAAGGTTAAGCTTTACCTTAAACCTTATTAATGATGATTTCCCAAGACTCTCAAGACTTCTTTCGACCCCTTAATTACCCTTAGAATACCTTGTGCTCATTTTAAAACATATCATATGTTTTTGAATTCACCAAGAGAAATCAAATGTATGTTCATTTCAGGTACATACCTGACACCCGTCAATAGCTTTATTGACTCATCATGGAGCTTGGATCTTATAGATCAAATTCCTACAACTTTTTAGGCTTTGTTGTTTCCCAGCAACATCGATCCATCATCTTGATCACAAAATTTCTAAAACACATCTTTGTTTGGAGTCATGTGCCAAGTGCAACATGAATCCATAATCCATTCCTTGCAAGAATTGGCTGCATTACCATTATCCTTCACATCGTGATTATTCTATCGATCAGGGCACACTTTTCTGTAAGAACACGATTTGAATCTATTTACAATCTCTAAGTTTTGATGACAACAAACATATATTTTATGAAGAACAATTTTAGTTCAAATTATTTCATTGAGTGTGCAGATACATAATTAAAAGAAGAACCGTTGAGTTCTGGTTCTAATGAAACATCAATAGTTATATGGAATGCTGAATGATCAACAAGAAAAGAATCTCAACATATCTCCAAGAAGGAAGAGTCTCTGATAAGACTCTACTACAAAATCAGAATTCAAGCTTCACTTATCAGAAGTTATGCTCTCCTGAAGGGAAGACAAGTCAACATTCTGATGCATGCTCTCATACAGGGATGCCCCTCAGAAATTATGCTCTGATATATGTGCTTTAGCAACGTACACTCTATCCAGAAGTTGTGTATTGTCTGAATGCATGATACATTAGAAAATATCATACCAAACACTGATGCTTGATAAGTATAGTGTTTTGGTTGTGATATTAGAATCAGGATACAAAAGCACTGATACATGATGTGTGGCATTATTTAATCAGGCTTAAATCAAGTTTTGATTCTTCACCAAGTGTTGATAGAAACCAGGTTTTGAGATGAAGACCAGGCATTCTAGTCAGACTCTGATGAGTTGCTATAGGGAAGTGTTACTTCTATATTCTATATTCTGAATGCTCAAAATTTATTTTGTGAGTCTTAGGCTCAGGGGGAGACTCTGAACAAGCTTAAATGAATTTTTGGGTTTAAAAGATTCAGGGGGACTTGTCAGCTTAACTCTGAATTTGTCGGTTACGGTGATTACCCTGTATAAACTATTTTATCTTAGAGAGCAATTGTATACACTAATGGTTTCGTCTAGTGTGTAGTTGCTACTATAATGTTCTGACTCTGGTACAAGGCGTGTGACGTCATCAGGTTCTGAACATACACTCTAGAAGAAAACATGTGGTTACATGTTTGGTTAAAGTCAAGGTTCTGAACTGATCTTCTGCAACGTGTCTAAGAAACGTTAGTACAGGAAGTTCCGATCGTGACATTGTGGTTTAGCTTTGGATGTCTTCTAAAGCCTTACTTCTGTGTTACAAGTTATGAAGACTGTGAAGACGAGGTTCTGCTGAACAAGTTCTAATGATTTGAAGAAAAGAAAGTTCTCAAAACCAAGGACTTGAGACTCTGAAGAACAAGGTTTTGTGTGACAAGTTCTGAAGACTCCAAGACTTAGGTTCTAAGGCTTAACAAATATTCTTCTACAAATAAGCTTCAACGTTTAACATTCAAATATATGAAGCCTCAGAAGATAAGAAGAAAGTTCAAATGGTTAACGTGTGATAATGTGCAAAAGGTACATAAAGTGTATGTGACCTCTACTCTCTAGGGTGGCGTAAAGATAGATCTTTATACTGTATTGTCAACCACCATCATTGTGATCATTGAGAACAAACAACTGGATTTACAACTATCTTTATTTACTTAACGAATCTCTATTTACAATCTTAATAGAAAAATATTATTCATAGGAAAAGGTGGAAAGCTATCATTGAACAGTGACAGGATACAAAAATATTATTTTATATTGTCTAAACTCGTACACCTTATTATATCCATTAGGAACTAAGTGTTGGTGTAGGAAAAGTTTGTTCTATCCTCATAAAGTCTCTCTCTTTCAAAGGCTATAAAAGAAGATCAAAGCATCAAAGATAAATTGTCGGTTGCAATTATCGTTTGCCATTGGCCATCAAGCTTCATCCTGTGGAAGGAAAGCAATGGATTCTGAAGATGTTAAAGCTTCAATGCTATACATATTGAAGACCACTAAAGAATAGAGAAAAGAAAGAAAGAAGATTTCAACAAGATGCCATTTAACTATCATCATATGCATCTTGGATGAAACAGAAGAAGCAACGAGATGCTGCTCGTAGCTTGCTCAAAGAAGAAGAAGAATCCAAGATGTTATTCTACTTTCCATCACATACATCCTAGAAGATTTCAGAAGAAGCAAGGAGTTGTTACTCGTAGGTTGCTCAATAAGAATATGAAGAAGAACACTACAAGATGATACTCAACTTCTGATCATATACATCTTTGTAGAGCATTCTAATGAACACTAGAGTTATTGTTGTAATAGTGTTTTTGTTCATATCTCTTCATGTAAGTTGTTTTAACACTTGAGTTGTTGCTCGTAGAAGTGCTAAACAATTAGTGCTTAAATGTTTTGTGTAATCTTCTTAGAAGAAGCAACCATGTAAACACAAAAAGCCCATCAACTATTGTTGAATGATTCCCTGAGAGACTGAGTTAAGGTCTGATCTCAAGAAGATAGTGGCTACTATTCATTGTAGGAAATCCTTATAGAAAATCTTAAGTGACCAAATTCTATTGGGTCAGTGATTGTTATATCCGGTTGGATCACTAAACATATAATTGAAAGGTTCCTTGATAGACTGAGTGAAGGTTTGATCCCAAGAAGATAATGGATCCTGGTCATTATGGGAAATCCTAATAGGAGATTCTAAGGGATCAAATTATGTTGGTTCAATGGTAGTCATATCTCAGAGAGGACCAAGTGAAGGTCAGACTCTTGTAAGATCCCTGATGGATATCATTGTAAGGAAATCCTGGTAAGAGATCTTGAGGGATCAGATTCTATTGGGTCAATGAATGTTATATCCGGTTGGATCCCTGAACGTGTCATTATGTGTTAGTCATCGGTGGTTTCTCTTGTGTTTGTAATCATTTTGGTTATAGTGGACTAAATCATTGGATAAGGAGAAATCATCCTTGCGAGGGTGGACATGAGTAGCCTAGTTAACGGAGAACTTGGATAAAATACTTGTGTCCTTTTCTCTTAATTGTGTTTATAGTTATTATCATTTGAGTGCAAATGATTTCTAATGGGGAATATTTTCTATGAACAAAATTCAAACTCCCCATTTCTTGTGATTTCGCTACCTTCATTTTCTAGTGCGACTCTCCTTATTATAGTGATAACACCGAATTCACTACGCCAAATAAGCTATTTAATAGCGCTTTTTTTTGTTTTTGATAGCGCTTAAAAGTGCTATTAACCGCGCCACTATTGTAAATATTTCTTATTTAATAGCACTTTAAAAGCGCTATTAAAGTACCAATTTATAATAGCGTTTTAATTAAAGTGCTATCAAAGTCAGTATTTTGCATGTTTTTTTATAGCACTCTAAACAAAAAGCGCTAATATATAACATATGTTTGATAGCGCTTTCAAATAAAGTGCTAATAAATGGTACATATTTGGTACAATATTTTTAATAAGTACAGTACAATATTTTTTCTTACACAATCATTTTTTTTGGTGTAAATATAAAATAACTATATTCAATTCAACACAAATAACGCTTTAAGTTACTCATTGCATATATATTATGATCCATCAAATACCAAATAACATTTTAAATTACCAAATCCTATTGTTTCCAAATATCATAACATATAGAATATTAAGAGGGCGTTTGCATAGCCAAATTTGTAGATGCCCATCTATGAGTACTTCAATCCAAATCCAAAAACATACAATCAAATTCTCTAAACAATTGTGATCAAGAATCTCCTTTATACTCTCTACACGTAGTTGCTCTAAAAACTAACTAAGACTCAATTAAGACACAATTAATTAAGGAAAATCGAGTTTAATGACTTCAAACTAACTAACAAAATACAAATTCGGTAACAATGATGAGTATAGAAAAAGTGTCACATCTATAATGTGAGCATTTTGGAAATAACATCTATAGTGTCACATCTAAAATTCGACTTACACATTGATCCACAACTCTTTGAACATTCTCATTATCAATCACCCCGCTCTTATTGACGCGGGCAGCCTTCCACACTTGACTACGGTTTATCTAACCAACTTCTGACTCTTCTACCTGTATATACATTTTTACAAATTAACATCTGACCCAACTCCTCTCGCAGCTCACGATAGCTGTTGAACCGAGAGATGTCAAGTGAACGACCAACCGAACCCGATTTGTAAACCTGTGAAAAGATAAAATTAAACTACTGAATTCAATTGAAGGACAGAAAAAGCTGCACGGATCATACCTTCACAAATGTTGGGTTCTGGTTTTGTGGGTCGCTTTGCTCTGCATTTTGCAAAAATGAAGATGAATCTTGCATGCAGGCGTATAGAGAACTCTGAAATCCCGACTCCCCTAACTGCATCGTTGACGCACCAGTGTCAGCAGACGAAGTGGTGTAACCTTGGACAGTGGTGGGGAGTAGAAGGCCAGATGAATCAATATTGACACCCGAGAGAGTATGGTTTTGCGTATCTGAATCACAATGTGGCACCACTGCCAAATCTTTTCCAGAAAATTGTGCATGAGACATTGTGTTGCTAAACGCGTTGACCTGCATATTCCCATACTTCTGAGTCCATGATTGTTGGGGTAACTGTTCGGTCATCAACGACTGACCGCTTCTGGATAGACTTGATAGATTCAAGAGATTGCCAGTTCCTTCATTGCAAAGCGAACCAAGCATGTTTTGTCCGAAGGAAGCCGAAGCAGGAAACTTCAAGTTTGAATCCAGGAGATCTTGTTTTGTATACGATGGTGATGGCGCATTGGACTGTTGTTGTTGTCGCTGATGGAGTTGATCATTTTGAATAAGAAGTGTATCTTGATAACCATGTTGCTGCTGTTGACCTTGGACTTCTTGATTGTTATTTGTTTTCTGAAGGAGGTGCTGAGACAGGTTTTCAGTAAGCACTTGGCCTTGTGGTTGCATCATATTAGAGGACACTGATTGTGGAATTGCGTGTGGTTGCTGAAGTTGCAAAGGCGAATTATTGTTTCCAGACTGAAGGTACTGGATAGGCTGTTGTTGAAAATTCATCATTTGTGGCCTCATGAGATATCCACTACCCATATTCTGCATTCCAGCTGCCGCCAACATGGCTTGATATTGTTGATTATGATCGTTTCCGAGTAAAGTTGGATCTAGTCTCTGCTGCATCCATGGTAACATGCCACCAGCACCTTGAAAATTAAGAGAATTGAGACCTTGGTCTGCAGGTCCACCTCTCATCCACATCAGACCATTTGCCACATCATCTCTTCCATCTGTAACAACATCCTAGGTAAGTAAAGGATATAAACAAGAAACCCTCAAAAAATTATGTAGTATTTCACAAACTGTCAACTGCTTTCGTATGAAATATGTAAATCAAGTTGCACAGATTGAATGATAGAGAAAAATGTACCAAGCAAAGAAGAGGTGCCAGGATGCCACGGTCGTTTCAATCTGAGGGGAAACAATGATGGATACATTGGGAATGTTGTTAAAGGCTCGATTTCCCATAATGAAACCCGTGGCTGTCTCTCTCCTGCTGTTGATTCATCCCAACCGACCTATTTACAGCGGATAAAAAGAAAGTAAGAGCGATTCATAAAAATTTCTATTGAAATTGAACCATAAAAGAATTAAAATGTTGCATCTGTATCTTTTGGTACAATCACAAGTAGACCCAAAATAAAACAACCATATATGCAATTTTATCTATGATTTCAAAAATCATATACAAATATGGCAGTTAATTTTCTTCCCATGGTTGGTTTAGATTTACAAACGATATAAAACAGAATATATTTGAAAACTAATTAGGACTTGAAGGTATAACTACAAAAATCCCAAAAGTTACAGTGATTGAAGGCATATGTATACATTATTACTAGTATCGAAAACCAGGCAACGCACAAATGGAAAATCGATGAAAGAATAGATTAGTTACGATTAATAATTTTCTATGCTTAGTTATTGAGCAACAACAACATTTAACACTAAATCACAATGTAGCATTAGGCACACATTGACAATGAGATATTAAAATACATTTATTTTTTGCAAAGGATATTTATGTAATTTCAACAATTAGCTTAAGAAGGCCAAATAAGACTACAGCAACAAATTTAATGGTTTGATAGAGAAAAATAAATATCAAATACTAGAGGATTATATTGCATTTGTCAAGCATGACAAACTATCTAGAAAAACCTTGCATTAGATATATTGCAGAAAAGTGGCAGTGAATATAGATAATGGTATCTAATCTTTCTAACACATTGCAGTGTGACCTTAACTTTCCTTAACAGAACGCCAATGAGAACTCGGCCACCGAACCGCATCCAGATCACTTATCCCAGTTATTGTACCCATGTACCTGCAAAACAAAAGCAATACATTGATTAAGTAAATGCAAAATAGTATGGTGCAGTACAAGTAATTTTCCTGCAGACACTTAATTCTTCAGTAAGTAGCTTCAGGAAAAATAGTATCTGATGTCTACGTGTACCTGCGGACACTTGATTCTTCAGTCTCGAAAAGCATCCTAAAGAGCATACCAACAGAAATACGTGTATGGTACACAGCTTTGATATATTTCAAAAGTGGTATGACAAACTCAGACGGACTAGCCCTGCCAATTACATAACTGTCAAAAGAAGCATTATAATTTCTTATAAAGGATTCATGTATGGAAATTCAGACAACATTGACAACCTTGGATTATAGAAGACAGTAAAACAACTATTAGTTGCTGCAGCATGAGCAGCGGCTGCCAGAAGTCCAATGTGCATACTGTCGCTGGACAAAACTGATGATGGCATTACAGTTTGTGGTCTATTGGCTCGACGAATTCCCAAAAGAAGCTGATTCTTCTCGTCGATATTTCTGTTCCGAGGAACGTAGGTTCGTGCGTCGATGACCTCGAATCAGTCAAAGTTTACAATGTCGACAACCTTAAAGAGGTAGTGGCTGCTAACAAAGAGGACAGACTAAGAAAAGCAATGGAAGCACAAGTGATCATCGGCGAAGAATCGGGCCAATTCGAAGCATGGAGAGACTCGTTAGAAACTGTTCCTACTATCAAGAAACTGAGAGCTTATGCTGAAAGGTTAAGGATTGCTGAGGTTGAGAAATGTTTAGGTAAAATGAGTGATGAGGATATAAATAAGAAGACACAAAAAGCAGTGGATGATCTTGGTAGAGGTATAGTGAATAAAATGCTTCATGGTCCAATGCAACATTTGAGATGTGATGGGAGTGATAGTAGGACTTTGAGTGAAACACTTGAGAATATGCATGCTTTGAATAGAATGTTTGGTCTTGAAACTGAGGTTTCTGTTTTGGAGCAGAAGATTAGAGCTAAAGTGGAGCAAAAACCATAGTGAGATTAATATGAGACCATTGTTGTTGATTAAACTCATTTGTTTAGGATTGAGAATCATGTCAAAAGACAATGATAAAACAGAGAACAATAATAAAACCTCAACATTGTATGAAAAACATAGAACAGTGATGAAACCAACCTGAATGTAGTTAATTATATCAAAGTTTGCAAGTCTTGATCCACCCTCTTGCTGTCTACAGAGCCACTGATCAAGTTTTTCCTGAAATCAAAAAAACATCCAACATTAACGAAATGCCAATTTTTGCTTGGATTGAAAAGAAGAATCGATTAATTGTGACTAAATCACACCAAAACAACAGAAGCCTTATCACTCAAACTAGAACAAACTTTTCAACTCATCTTCAACCAATGTACTGACTTTTTTGCTCTCCATAAAACTTCATTCCATCCACTATGAATGATATATTCAGGACCTACCTTAGAAAATATGTTATGTCTTTTTTATGACCTTTTGGTGTACAATATGAATGAGAAGGAAAATTTAAGTCATTTGAAATAAACATTAACAACATCAGCAAATGACTGCTTTGTGGCTAACAACGCTAAATGCAGATTTGACAAAATAATATGTCCTAGGTTTTATAAAATAATATGTCCCTAGGTTTTACCTTATACTTCACCTTCTATTTCCTTACGGGAGGACATTCATGCTTCCTTAGAACTTACAGATTTTTAGCCGCAAACCTGTATTGGGTTGAAATACAAAAGAAAGTCGGAATTATGTGAGGTATTGTGACCTTTGTGACATAGGTCACAGACAAAACTATGCAACAACAATTCTCAGGATTATTACAACCTCGCTTAGTTCCTAATGTTGTTTGGGAAGAAGACCTTTCCTTAGATTGCATTACAGGATTTCTAAAGTCTAAGAGGTATGAAGCAGTGCTGGTAGCAGTGAATATACTGTCCAAATTAAAAGGAGTGTGCTTGTGTTTGTTCCAACAAGAGAATAAAAGAGATTTTAATTGAAGAAAAATACAAATTACATTTTTCATCTCTTTGTAATAAACATTTAAGACTATTAACTATAAAAGTATTACACTCATTCTAAATACCTAACTTTTGGAAGGGAGATAAAATTAGTTTAGACATTAGGAGAAATGTAACTTCCTTCTACTTAATTTCAACCAAACACAGAAGAGCAAAACATCTAATATGAAAACAGAGGAAGTAAATCTAATTTTGATTAGTTGGCAAACGGTGTAGCATTTTGTGTGACGCGTCCAGGCTAACAACAAATCAAAGCTAGTCAATATATTCTCACTTCCATAATCAAGGAGTATTGGATGATATATTTCACATGCCATAACCAATGCTTGTTATTCATTCTCACAGGGGTGAACTACAGAAAATATGTAAATAATTAAGGCCATGAAAAAGAAATAGTTCAAGCTAGTGTATTACAAGATACTGGAAAAATTCTTTTGACTAACTAAACCTTACAAAAACTAAGAATAATCCCTTCCAACTAGCAGATACAAAACTAACTCAAAAACTGGGGAGGCGTAATTTTGAGGTACCAAAACTTTGACATATCAAAACTCACATCAACATTTCTGCAATCTGGATTGCGTTAAGTGCAGCTCCCTTGCGAACTTGATCCCCGCAAACAAAAATGTCCAACCTAACAACTCAAATTTCATGAACCCTCATAACTGCAACTTAACCTCACAAACCCTCATTACAGCTACTCAAAATCACGAATATCCGTCAACACAAAGACATCATAACGCTCACAAACAACACAGAGAATCAACGGATAGCAGAAACTGAAAAAAGAAATATTACTGGATACAAATGAAGAGAGGGATGACGACGACGTAGGTGAGATGACAAAGGGTTGAGTTCGACGGAGAATAAGATTTGGTTGTTCTTTCTTTTCAGTGTTTCCTCCTTCTGTTTGAGTGTCGTTTGAGAAGTGAATCTGAATCTGAATCGATGGTGAATCCGATGGCTGAAGAATGGATCCGGGTGAAAACCGAAGGAAGGGATGACGGTGGTAAATCAATGACTAACGACGGTGAATCAATAAAAACCGAAGGAAGCAGAGGAAGATTTGACGGCGGTGAATCAGTTGGGAGAATCAATGGCTAAGAAGGAAGCAGAGGATGATAGTGTTTTTGTTTTTGGCGGTGAGTGGATGCGGCAAGCAGAGGAAGATATTTTCTGAAAATGTGTTTTGTTTTTTTTTTTTTATCAATTAATTAATTAATTAATTATTATATATAACATAGCGCTTTTTAATAAATGCTATTATATAGGTAGTCAAATAATAGCGTTTTATACAAAATGCTATCTTAAAGAAGTTTAATAATAGCGTTCTGGTACAAAGTGCTATCATAATTACATAGTCTGTATTATATAATAGCGCCCGATTAAAAAGTGCTATTATAAATGTGTTTTTTCCATTTTAATAGCATTTTTTTTTAAAAGTGCTATTAAATTAGGTGATACAAAAAATCATTTTTGGCGTAGTGATTGTAGAAATATCACCACCATAATATTTCTGCTGACCTTTACCTTTCTTCTTTTCAAACTTACCATCTTTCTTCGATAATTTCCCTTTAACGATCGAACCTTCACCAACAGACGATGGTTTATACTTCTTTCATTTGTTCAAATCCTTAGAGTATAAGGTTGATTGAACTACTTCAAAGGATAAGGACTCTTTTCCATACAAGAGAGTTTCTTTGAAGTGAACATAAAACTTAGGTAAAAAACACAACAATAACAACAATTTACTCCTTATTGCTCTCAATATTGAAAGATTACAATTTCCGACACCACTTCATTACTACCATATGAATTTTGCATTATTAGGATGGGATGTAAGGGTAGTAAAAAATATCTATGGTGCTTTTAGCGGCATAAAGTATGTTAAAGCTTCTATGGCGTTCTCACCAACAATGGGGTTCGTTCGTCCCAATATATTAAAATTCATATAATGGTTTACTTTAACCATAATTTTTTTCTTCTAAATCATGCAATTACTTGCTTATGATATATTTATGATAACGAGACAACATATCCGATTCAAGATGATGCCTTGAAGACCGGTGAACTTGACTACGTCAATTGAGGTATACATGAAATTTATATGGTTGTTGAACTCTATTTATTAATTTTTTTAATTTTAAATTGTTAGTATAATTTTTAACTATTTTCCATTATTTTAGCCGCACTTGTTCGATATTCCATAGCAAGAAACTTCCTAGGACTATCAGATGTCAATGTCTCCGTAGTGTTATATTCTGTCTTAATTAATTACACACTTAAAGTATATATTTTATCTATGTAATTTTATTATACAAGACTTTGGTAGATCCATGGTGTTATTTATCTGAAATTATGATTGACATACATTTTAGTAAAATCAACTTTGCAGTAACATGTTGAACAAGATGTTCTAACTTTCAGTTTTCAACATGTCGAGTAAGATGTCCTAAGAAGGAGTTAGGACATCGTGTCTGCAGCAACTGACAGTTGTGGTTCAGCTGATTTTTAGCTATTGAATATTCCGTTAGCTCATGTGGCATCCAAGATTGACAAAATAGAATATTTGGTGTTTGGTTTTCAAAGATTTGATTAGTTTCTAAATATGAAAACTTTTAAGGAAACTAATGATTGAAGACCTATTTTCTTGGAGAAGATTTTGAAGACTTTGTGCAATCTCATTTTTGCAGTTTTGAAGCCCAACCTAGTCCAGAATAAAATTATAAATAGACTGGTGTATACCTAGTATTAGGTGGAACTTAAGAATATATTTGTGTTAGGGTTTTAGAATCCTCATTGTTGGATTATAAGTTCTCTGTCACATGTTCATAAGCTTTTAACCATTGAACATTTGTGTGCCAATTCTCATAAGCTTTTAAGCATTGAGTTTTGTGTGTTCTCTACTTGTGTTTAGAGTTGCTCCAATTACAGAGTGTAATTAAAGAGGGATTTGAGGATGACCTCATATGTAGGTGTGTGTTAGGTAGAAGTTAAGAAAATGGTAGTGATTAAGTGTGTAGGCTGTAAACTAGGATGTTTGCTGTCAGTTTTATAAATTAATACTATCTAGTTAATTTCGTCCATGGCTTGGTATCCCCAGAGTAGGAATATTGTTCCGAACTGGGTAAACATATCTTGTGTTATTTACTTTCAGCACTCTTTAGTTTGTCCATACATCTTGTTGTTGCATGTGAAGTCAGATACGGTGTCTCAATATCCCTTAGGACATCCGAGATCTGATAACCAAAATTTCAATTTGTATCAGAGCAGGCATCCTGCTCTGACTCTGGGTGAGATTTAGGGAAGTTGCATTCTGGTGCAATAGACAAGGATGTTATAATTGTGGTTAAAATACCTATTTTAGACTGTACCAACTATGATAGTTGGAAAACACGTATGCGAACCTTCATAAAGTCCTTGGGTGACAAGGCTTGGATAAATGTTATCAAAGTATGGGATCCACCAAAGCTTGTGGATGCAGAAGTGAAGGCTATTGATGTGCTGAAGTCTGAAGAAGACTGGGATGATAATGATGAGGCTTTATCTCAAGGGAACTCCAAAGCATTCAATGCCATATTTAATGGTGTTGATAAAAATATATTTAAATTGATAAAGAACTGTAAACATGCAAAATTTGCATGGGAGACCTTAAGAAAAGTTCATGAAGGAAACTCTAAGGTAAAAATGGCAAAACTTCAACTTGTTAGAATATAGTTTGATTCTACAACCCTCAATTAGAGTTTTGATGATAACAAAATACAAGAATAAATAAATTGTAAGATTTATATATGACATATATGCTACTTAAAATTATGTTGTGTATTTACAGAAACTCTGATGGAATCAGCATCAGAAGATCAGTATCAACATCAGCATCAGAAGATATCTCAGCATCAGAAGATCAATAACATGTGCTACACGCTGAAGTTAACAGATCATACGCTGAAGCCTGATGACCAGAATCTGCGCATAAAATACTCTGACTTTAATCAAGATCCTTACCAAGTCATCAGCACTCAGAAGCGTCAGAATAAGTTAAAGCCAAGAACACTCTGATTACCATAAGCAGAGAACACTCTGGAGCGTTACTAAGCATTCAAGATAGATTAATTACCAACGGCTTTATTCCAAGACAAGGTCTTCTCAAAAAGGAAAGAACGTTATTATTATTGAAAGTGATTTATGGACAACAATGTATCTTTGCATTGGCTATATAAACAAGTCTGTGTGAGAAAAGATGCACGCATATACACGCCTACGAAAACGAACGCACTCATACAATTTGCTAAGCTTCCAACCACGCCTACTCAAAATCATTAGCAATCCAGTTTCATTCTAAGCTTAATATTGTGTATTATCACAGTTGTGATATATAGTTTTGTTAGAAAACATTAACACACATTTTGTCCAATTATCTGTAAGAGAATTTCCTTGAGATAAACCGGTATGTGGTTAGACTCAAGAAGGCTTTAACAGTTGCTAAAGTAGTTGTTGTAATCCTATTGAATATAGTGGATTAAGACCTCGTTGGAGAGAGGCGAAATCACCTTGACGGGTGGAATGGAGTAGTTTGAGATTAAACGAACCAGGATAAAAATACAGTGTTGTCTGAGCTTTTATTTTAAGATTTACAATTCAACCCCCCTTCTTGTGTTTTTCACATCTTCAATTGGCATCAGAGCGTCTGGTTCTGAGCTTATAACACTTAACCGTGTCAGTACAAGATCCAGCATCAGAAAAACACAATGGCCGGACCACATAAAAACATCAGCAATGACAACAATGAAGAAAGAGACAAATTTAGTGGCAAACGTCCAGTCTTTGATGGAGAGAACTTTGACTACTGAAAAGACAGAATTGAAAGTTTCTTTCTGGCCCATGATGCTGATCTGTGGGACATGGTGACTGATGGATACACATACCCAGTGGATGGAAGTGGTCAGAAGATTGACAGGAAAGCAATGTCTGATCAGCAAAATCGTGATTTCAGAAATCATCACAAGGCCAGAACAATTCTTCTCAGCGCCATCTCTTATTCTGAATATGAAAAGATATCAAACAGAGACACTGCAAAGAATATGTTTGACTCTCTGAGAATGACGCATGAAGGCAACATTCAAGTCAAAGAAACCAAAGCTCTTGCGCTCATTCAGAAGTATGAGACATTCAAGATGGAAGAGAGTGAATCAATAGAGACTATGTTTTCAAGATTTCAAATTCTTGTTGCTGGTCTAAAAGTTCTTGACAAAGGGTATTCCACTGTTGATCATGTTAAGAAGATCATCATAAGCTTGCCAAAACAGTGGAGGCCAATGGTCACAGCGCTTAAGCTAGCCAAGGATCTCAACAAAATCTCTCTGGAGGAACTTGTCAGCTCCCTCAGAAGTCACGAGATAGAGCTAGAAGCTGATGAACCTCAAAAGCAAGGTAAGCCATTAGCATTAAAATCTAACAGAAAATTTGACTCCAAAGTTTTGCAGGCTGTGGAAGAAACCTCTGATGGGTCCTCATCAGAAGAAGATGAACTATCTCTCCTCTCCAGAAGGGTGAACCAATTGTGGAAGCAGAGGCAAAGAAAGTTCAGGAATACCAGAAGATCAGAAAATCAGAATGAATCTTTCTCCAGATACAGAAGGTCAGAATCCTCCTCTAGACACAGAAGATCTGAAGGCTCTTCAGGAAACAGAAAGCCAAACAACAAAGACATCATATGCTATAAATGTAACAAGCAAGGGCACTACAAAAGTGATTGCCCAAATCTTCAGAAGGAAAAGCCCAAAAAGAAGTTTGGCAAGGAAAAGAAGAAAAGTCTCATGGCTACATGGGATGATTCTGACACATCTGAAGCTGACTCAGAATCAGATGATGAAAGAGCAAACATAGCTCTCATGGCAAACATAACAGAAGACAATGAAGCTTCTGAGTCAGACTCTGAATCAGATATAGAAGAGGTATTTCCCGACTTTGCTATAAACTTTACTAAGGATGAACTAGCTGAAAGCCTTAATGAAATTCTGGAAAGATATCAGCAGATCAGAGTCAAATTCAGAAACCTGAAAAGGAATCTTGCTTCTGACTCTGATAAGACTGAGAGTCTCAAA